CTGTCAGTCGTTTCAGGGGGTGCTTCAGTCACTCCAGGATTGGGGGATATGGTGGTTGGTGTTAGAGCCCATCCTGTCAGTGGCTCTGTCCGGCATCCAGCTCAGCTCAATAACGACACTGGTTGCTCTTGGCAGCTGGCGACGTCAGTGTGCTGGGCCGGAAGCTGGAAAGAGCGTCACAGGTTGCCAAGAGCTCTTAGCAACCTGGGATGCTGTGGACGTATCCCAGGTTGTGGCCGCCCTCCTAACGCCCCCGCATACACACACACCTACTGCCCCCCAGGCAACCACCTCAGGCTGCTTCATTATATGGATGGCCCTGCACATATAACTATAAGAATATTTATAGTGTTTGATATAATGAAATACCCGTGAAAATGCACTTTAAAAATACCTGTGAATATCTACTTTTTCCACTAGGAAAATGACAAGCAATGAATCTGATTTTAACATCAACACCACGCATATGTTCAGCACTGAAGAAGCAACAGCAAACTGCACAAGTGTCACAGCAGACAATATAATAAAAGTTTACTTTCTACCAGCAATGTACGGCATCATTTTTGTTATAGGATTTACAGGGAATATTATTGCAATTTCAGTGTATTTTTTTAAAATGAGGCCATGGAGAACGAGCATCATCATCTTGCTGAATTTGGCTATCACAGACCTCATGCATCTCAGCAGCCTCCCGTTTTTGGTTTACAATTATGTTAATCAAGAGCACTGGACTCTTGGGGACTTCATGTGCAAACTGATCCGTATTATTTTCCATTTTAACTTGTATGGCAGCATTCTTTTCCTCACCTGCTTCAGCATCTTCCGCTATATCGTTATTGTTCATCCAATGAAATTTCACTCCATCCATAAACGGAGGTGGGCTGTTATAGCTTGTGCAGCTGTGTGGGTGATTGCACTCATTGAAGTCCTTCCAATGGTTTTTATGATGAAAGACATGCATGATACTGTAGCTTGCATGGACTTTGCAGTGTCTCTTGAAAGGTACAATGTACGCTGGTACAATGCCTCTCTTACTACCATTGGCTTTGCCTTACCATTGTTAGTGGTGACTCTCTGCTATACCGGCATCAACTGTAGCCTGGCAAATGGACCTTATACTGATGATGCCCAAAAGAAAAAGGCTCGTAGGCTCGTTGTCATTCTCTTGGTGGTTTTTTATGCTTGTTTTTTGCCTTTACATATTTTTAGAGCCATTCGTATTGAAACACGACTACACCATGTAAGCTGTGTATTTGAAAAACATATTCATGCTGCATATTTAGCCTCTAGACCAATAGCTTCACTGAATACATTCGGTAATTTATTACTTTATGTTGTTGTTGGAGGGAACTTCCAGCAGGCTGTTCAATCAATTTATAAGTCCAATCCTTATAAACACCAACCATAAATCAGGGGAAATCTACAACACTGATAAGGTCACATACATCAGTATACATGCATATATGAATCTCACAAAAATACCCATCTGTACAAATAACGTATGTAAGGCAACCAATAGTCTGCACCGGGGACGTGCGGTCAGTCGAGGCAGGTGAGACAGAGCCTCGCCTAGTATTATGGTGGAAAAGTCTGTCAGCTTCAAGTCTGAAGCTGAAATCTTTTTCTCATTCAGAGCGGCTTGCAACAGGTTACACAGCAGGGAAAGCCTCCCCGCTGTCTAACCTGTCATGAACGGAGCGCTGCCTGTTAATTAGAGGCGGCACTGCTTCCGACTTTTGACAGTTAAGTTAGGTTACACAGTAACAGGCTTCCCCACTGTTTGTGTAACCTAACATAGTGAGGCAAGAGCTGTCACAGCCTCTACTCTGTGTTAGAGGTGTGAGCTGTGAGCTCTGTGGATGGTTTGGAGACTGGACCAATGGTGCCATCGATCTTGATGCCTCACCAGTAACTCACCAGTGACAAGCAAGTGAGGGACAGAGAGGCTCCTCCCTGTCTCCTCCTCCCTGTCTCCTCCACACAGAGCTTGGTTCCCGAATTGGGTGCGGGGCTTCGGCGGGATGGGTGCAGCGCTTCGGCGGGCAGGGGAATGCCTCACCCAGGACGGAAGCACTGCACGTCACTGTTCTGCACCCAGTTTATGGTTCAAATTACTTTTATTATCCTTGCAGTGGGGATACCTGGTCATTTTTGTATTGGTGCTAAAAAAAGTTACACCCAAACTGTAGAGCTGACGCCCTGTTTCTCAGGTCACTGAAAAGTGTCTCCTCCTCCGCTGCACAGATGTTCCTCACCATTTTGACATCTATACACTTGTATAGAATGTGATGACCCAAGGATTCTTAGACCCCTGCAGAGTGCAGAGGAGAGGGAGACCGGTCTAAGAGCAAGCTGGCTGGAATGATCAGGTGAGTATAACATTTTATTTAGCACAAAAGCAGTTATCCTTTGCAGTGTAGGGGTAGCCCCACAGCATGGGATAATACATTTTTTTTACCTGTAGTACTTTTTGAAGAAAAAGTAATGCAGTTATTGGGATATCCAGAGCTTCAACTGTTGCTGGCTCAATCGACTTACTGTTCCCATTATTGTGTCAGTGGATGATTCATCATAGTTAGAAGAGCTAGAAGAGACATTTGTTAAGAAATGTGTTATATTTGGTAAGCCAATAATATAAGACGTTTTAGGACACCAGCCAACTGTGCTCCACGTAAGAAAATCCATTCATTAAACTATGTTAGCTTAAAATAAAATTGAGTCATATGAATCTAGTCCAACTTTAGTAATGTAATATTTGATGTTCAAGGTGCATACATTAATGAGGATCTTTCAGTTTTATATAGTTTACCTGCCTGCTTTGGTGGCAGTCTTTTGCTCTCATTCTGTGAAGTAGCTGCTTTTCACAAAGAAGTGAACATATGGAGCAGAAGGTAATTTGCTAGGCCTCATAAGAGTTTGGGTTCAGTGTTATTCTCATGGAATTTGTGGCACAAAAAAAGATTTTGTTAAAAAATTCAACCTTATTTAAGCACACCGTAAGGCTTTCTCTGTCTTGAAAAATGAATATGCCTACTAGTTTTACCACAGTATGATGACAGACATAGCCTTTACTACACCATCTATCACAGGTGAATAAGAAGAGCAAAAAATGTCTATTACCCAAACATTGACTATGGTGTATATATAAACATGAATTATACACTTTTGTTTCAATTATTATGCATAAACAAAGCAAATTCCATATATATTACTTAATTGTATAAAGGAAACATTGTCCATGTAGTAACAGACATGCAGAAAAAAGTAATGTAACAAGTCATAAGAAAATTCTATTGTACAACTACACATGGTAACTGTCAAGAGTTCAGTATTCTTTGTAAAGAACATGCTGCTAACAAAAAATACTAATACATGTTGTATTTAATATTACTTTACTGACATTGTTCTTGAAATAATAGGGGACTGCTGTGTACAAAACAAAGTTTGAAGAGTAAACTGCAATTACAAGTCATGTGTAGTTGTCAGTGACACATATTCTGAACTTATTGTCAGATGACACATGTTTTATTTACCGACATGAAAGGCGTAGTTAATAAATTTACTTGCTAACTCGCATTTTGATATGTACTCCACCTGTATGGTTATGCAATTATTTCCATCCAGAATAGTCAAGCTGTCAACCAGTGTTTGCAAAAGGTGTTATAAGAGGGAGGGATTAATTATCATGTGTCAAACAATTGGCAGGTATGTAGGTAAAATGTGGGCGGGCTATTTATGCAGCATGTGGCTGTCAATGAAAGAGGGCTATCAGAAATGCCAACTTTTACATCATGACACATGTAAGAAATAAACAGATTCTGAAACTAAATAAATGTAGGAAACACCATAGAATCTTCATAACTTATATAAGTCACTGAAGCGATAAGTTTACAGCCCTGTGGACTATCCAGTGGCATTACTAATATGGGAAAACTGAGACGCTTATCAAATGGGTCACCTGCCAAGTAATAGTAAAGACAATGTTTTTATCTACTAACTTAACAGCTGTCCCATTCTACATTTTCATTTATTTCTGCCAGGGGTCCAAAAGGAAAGAACTTGCACAATCCCTTCTCATATCTATTGTATAAAGTTTCTCAGCTTAATGGAACTGTGTAACTGTTCAACCCCAAGTTTAACAAATGTCCCTTGCATGAATCAGCCTTTCTTGAGTACCTTGACATGTGTAAATTTGTTTCCTGTACTACCAGTTTTAGATATATATATATATATATGTTTTCTACAATCTTACATGTTTTTGAATGACTAAAAGTGATCACTTGGATTCGCCTAAATAATGATTTATATGATAAAAAAATATTTTTTTTAGAACTTTGAAGCAAACCCATCATGTATTTTAAATGTTTAAAGCTGAACTCCAAGAAGATATAAACATACCAATGAATACAGTTATTTATCTACAAAATATCATTTATTGAATTTTGGTGAGCATTTATTCATGTAAATACCTATATTTAACTTCATTTCTTGCAATCTCCTGTACAACTGCACCCAGACTGGGAAATGAAGGAGCAGGCTGGGAGAGGGGACCTTCAGAGGGTCCAGGGTCTATTTCCAAACTTTAGTCAAACCAAGAAAAAATGGTTTAGTGATATATGCAGCACACACGGACAAATAGGGCATTTATTTGGAGCCCAATGAATTATAGTGCCAGGTGCCTAAATTAAAAAAGGGTGCTTTCGGAATATGGGAGCTGCCTCTGCTGATTTTTTTTTTTTTTTTTTTTTTAAATTGTTTTTTTTTGTTTTTCAAACACGCCACACAAAGGAGGAAAAGGCGGCATCTAGTTGGCGAAAGAAGGAGCGTGGCAGCTTAATGGGAACAGCCTGAAATAGATATAGAAGTTTGGGGAGTATGTTCATTTTCAATAGGGCTGCACGTCCAAGCCAAGAAAAAGTATGTGCCCTCCAGTTTCGAAGGTCTTGGAGGATAGAGTCCCGGAGATTCGCATAGTTCGCGTCGTAGAGGAGGGTCAAGTCCGAGGTCAGCTTGATGCCTAGGTACTTTAAGTGGTTGAGGCACCATTGGAAGGGGTAGGATGATTGTAGTTGTGACCTAGTCTCGTGGGGTACTTTGAGGGGCATGATTTCTGATTTGGTATAATTTATTTTGAGGTTGGATAGTGAGCCATATAAGTCAAAGAGAGACATCAGACGCGGTAGCGAGGTCTGGGCATCTGTTAAAAAGAAGAGTAGGTCGTCTGCATACGCCATTATTTTGTGTTCCGTATCTCCTATCTGGATTCCGTGTATGGATTGGTCTGTCTGCACTAGTCTAATAAATTGTTCCAGGGTCAGGACGAAAAGTGTGGGCGATAGCGGGCAACCTTGACGAGTCCCGTTGGTGATTTGGAAGCTGTCGGACAGGCATCCCATCGTACGTACCCTGGCTTTGGGGCAGGAATAGATAGCATTTATCTGCAGATTTGTTTTTAAACGTGCAGGCTTCAGTGCTGTTATCGTCATCCTTACTTTGCTATTTGGTTAGTCACTGACCTGGAACAAACATGTTTATAATCTGTGTCGAGACCCCTTATATGTATATAAATGTTCCAGGTCAGTGACTTACTAGTGAAAAAGATAAAAATGGCAGCTCTAAAATAAAATCAGCAAACCCAGCTTCCATATTTTTATCCTGACATGTTGCCTTTGGAGTACATCTGTCATGAGAGAAGTACAGAAGCTGCCATTTCTGAAATCCCACTAAAAATGCTAGTTGTCTGGCTATTTTTGGTGTCAATCGTTCTAATTCACAGTTACAAGATATTCATGCTATAAATGAGTGTCAGAAAATGTCAGAACAATCTATTTCTATACTTCTGAGTCAGCAACTCAAAAAGCATTGTAGTCAATAGGGATGAAGTTTGGGTTTATGGCAAATCCCACATGTTCAAGGTCCACAGACCTGGCAAACTAATGAAGGAATTTGTAAGACAAAATTCTTTATATCGCAATGCACTGCCTGGACTTTGAACTTTGCTCAGCTGGCTTGCAGAGGCCAGTAAGGGGGCTTTTGGACATGCCAGCCCCCTCACTATGAATGGGTGAGGCCACAACAACCATATCAACAATGTGCTTTGTAATAAGAATAGGGAATGCTGTTGATAAAGTGCATACGGAGAGATTAGTGCAGGGCTTGCAGGCGCTAGCAGATCTGTTAAAGTAAATGTAAACCCTTACTAAATGCCCTGTAGGTAGAAAAGTGCTGTGTATCATGGATAGTTTAGGGGTGTGTGGGGCGGGAGGGGTTACCTTTTTATCTATTGTTACATCTTAATGCTGCTGACATCCTGCTGACATTTTACAACCTGACCCTGTCCACATGCACTACAGTGATTACAGACTACATGTATTTTTTTATAGGGTTAGCCAAGCTCCAGCTAACTCTTTTTAAGCAGTTACAGCAACAGTTTTTCTTTTTCCTCTTGGGA